AATTCCTACGACTATTCTGGACAATGGCAGCTGAGAATCAAGGTTAGTATATTTGATTTTATAGCTTATCTAGAACTTACATGTGGTATCAGAGCTTAAGTTATATTATCTCTTATCTAACCAATTTTAAGAATCAAGAAAATCAAGAAAATCAAGTTCTACAAACTGTCAAGTTTCAAAACAGTTTTCAGAAAGCTTGGCACGATAACAGTATAAAGATTATCACTTTGTCGTGACAAGAGAAAGCATTGATCGTTGAATGCATATCTCTTACAGTATATTGAGTAAGCCAAAGCAAACTCAATAAACTGCAAGATCTATACATTCAAAGGTTCACGATCAAGATTGTGCTGCAAGAAATTACATGGAGAAATTGCTCTCTGTCCAAAGATGTGAGTACATCTTCATGTAATTACTTGTGGCAGAACAACATGGGATATGAAGCATACAAACTAGTATGAAATTTTTCTTATCCAAAGATAAGGAAGGTTTTGTTCAAAAGAAGTTTGTATTTTTCATACCTCAGTGGTTGATAAATATGAACGAATCTCTACCTAAAGGTGAGGATCGAACATATTTAATTTAAAGTTTTTGGGGCTAAAGTTTTAAGTATACATGTTTATATGTTTTCAGTTAACCACAACTCAATTGAGACTCTCATTGGCTCAAACTATAAGAAATGGAAAGAGGACTTGGAAATTGCTTTAGGTTTGCTCGACTATGAAATGGCTTTGGAAGAAGATGCTCCTGTTGTACCTGCTGCAAATGCATCTGCAGAAGTTAAGAATAAGTATGCCAAATGGATCAAGGCAAATAAAATGGCTATCCTAATTATGAAGAGGTCGATTTCTCCATCTGTTAAGGGGAGCATAACAACATCTGAAAACGCAAAAGATTTTCTTAAGTCAATTGGGGAGTTTTTCCAGGAATCAAAGAAGGCTGAGATAGGTACATTGATGGGGCAACTCACTGATGTCAAGTACAATGGAGAGGGCTGTGTTAGGACTCACATACTCAATATGCTGGACATTGGGAACAAACTGAAGGCACTCAATGTCAATGTAGACGAGACAATGATGGTACACTTTGCTATTAATTCTCTGCCAAAT